CCATATCCGAAATGAATCCTTAATTGTGTTATTAATTATGATATTATATTATGATCCAAAAGCTATTCGATTATACCTTACAAATCAATAAAAAATTGTATACATACTTGTAATTAAATTCTTAATTTTTTTTCATTAACTTGTAATAATTTTATAAAAATATTACAGGGTGGTAATTTTTCATAATTTTAAGGGTTATTTACACTAAGATTCCTTGAGTTATTAAGAAATGTTATTTTACCCTCAAAATTATAAAAAAGCGAACAAATATTCATAAATTATAACAATGTATAAATTGAACAGTTAATGGAAGGGAAAACATGTTGATAGTTTAGGAGGTTCATTTATACTCTTTCTTTTTTTTTATAATGAGTTAATTACCTAAAAGTTCTATTTATAAATGTTATGGTATCGCATGTCCTATTTAAGATTTTTTGAAGTAATAAATCTTATTTGGTAAAATTGAGAATATTATAAGTTTTTTTTTTCCAATTTTTAAAACTAAGAACATTATCAATTTTGCAATGTTCCAGATAATTATTTCACTAACTGATAAAAAAAAACAGAATAAGAGATTAAACGTTTACCTTTCTACCTATTGAGTTGATTCAACTATCTAATAAAACTTAGAACATTAACAGTTTTTTTCTAGTTTTAAGATTGAGAATAATATCAGTTTTTTTATTTTTAAAGTTTTTTTTTTTTAGTTTTGCACATTAATGTTCCATCATTATGTTCCTTTATAAATACAAAATTTTCAGTTTTGCACACACAAAAAAAAAAAAAAATTAGTATTTTCAATTTTTTTCCAAAAAAGAAAAAAACATTTTTTTGGGCACATAAAATTTTTTTTTTAGTTTTTTCAATTTTAGAGTCAATGTTTTAAAGTTTTGAAAATCAAAATATATGTTAAATCATCATATTTATTTATAAATAATCATAAATGATAAACAATCATTATTTGAAGGGTAATTTCGACTATTGAAAACTTAATACAACTTAAAAGTCTAAATAATCTTAATTAGAACTTAATGGATTATAAATTCATAAATTAAAGTTTATATGTAAATATCTCTTTTATAATTTAAGAGAATAAAATGATATTTTTAAATAATTTAAGTAATCTATTTATACATTTTTAAAATTTAAAGGATCAAAATAATAATTATCAATAATTTAGAAATTCTCTCCGTAAATAACCCTAATTTGAAAGACTCCGCATTGATTTTGACATTTGCTCAAAAAAATGTTTGATGAAGTATAGTGGGGTATGAGAAGTTGTTATTTTACATCATCTCCAACGGTTCATTAAACCTGATATCAAATTTAAAATTTGATGAAAAAGTCACTTTTTTGAGCTCCAACGGTTTTACCAAATCGATATCAAATCCAGAATTCAGCAAATCTTTTACCAAAATGAGAACAGGCGAAGCATTTTACCAAATCACTGTTCCTAGCCGTTGGGAGAGACCAACGGGTCAACCAGCCGGCTGCCCGGCCGGTTAACCAACCGGTCGACCGCCTAAAGGTTCAAACGGTTCGAAAAAAAGGTTCAAACAGTAAAAAAAAAAAAAAAATTTTTGCCTAACCGGTCGACCAGCCGGTCGACCACTAAAAGGTTCAAAAAGTTAGAATTTATATGTAAATATCTCTTTTATAATTTATCATAAATTAGAATTTATATGTAAATATCTCTTTTATAATTTATCATAAATTAGAATTTATATGTAAATATCTCTTTTATAATTTATCATAAATTAGAATTTATATGTAAATATCTCTTTTATAATTTATCATAAATTAGAATTTATATGTAAATATCTCTTTTATAATTTATCATAAATTAGAATTTATATGTAAATATCTCTTTTATAATTTATCATAAATTAGAATTTATATGTAAATATCTCTTTTATAATTTATCATAAATTAGAATTTATATGTAAATATCTCTTTTATAATTTATCATAAATTAGAATTTATATGTAAATATCTCTTTTATAATTTATCATAAATTAGAATTTATATGTAAATATCTCTTTTATAATTTATCATAAATTAGAATTTATATGTAAATATCTCTTTTATAATTTATCATAAATTAGAATTTATATGTAAATATCTCTTTTATAATTTATCATAAATTAGAATTTATATGTAAATATCTCTTTTATAATTTAAGAGAATAAAATGATATTTTTAAATAATTTAAGTAATCTATTTATACATTTTTAAAATTTAAAGGATCAAAATAATAATTTTCAATAATTTAGAAATTCTCTCCGTAAATAACCCTAATTTGAAAGACTACGCATTGATTTTGACATTTGCTCAAAAAAATGTTTGATGAAGTATAGTGGGGTATGAGAAGTTGTTATTTTATATCATCTCCAACGGTTCATTAAATTTGGTATCAAATTTAAAATTTGATGAAAGAGTCACTTTTTTGAGCTCCAACAGTTTTACCAAATCGATATCAAATTCAGAATTTAGCAAATTTTTTACCAAAATGAGAACAGGCGAAGCATTTTACCAAATCACTGTTCCTAGTCGTTGGGAGAGACCAACCGGTCAACCAGCCGGTTGCCCGGCCGGTTGACCAACCGGTCGATCACCAAAAGGTTCAAAAGTTCCAAGAAAAGGTTCAAATAGTAAAAAAAAAAAAAATTTTTTTTTGCCTTACCGGTCGACCAGCCGGTTGACCAGCCGGTCGACCACTAAAAGGTTCAAAAAGTTTAAAAAAAAAAAAATTTCGCTTAACCGGTCGACCAACCGGTTGTCCCCGGCACAAATTTGATGAAAGTGCACCGTTGGAGCAAGTGGTATCAAATTTGGTAAAATGGGTCATTTTTTACTCAAATTTGGTGAAAAATCTGATTCACCGTTGGAGATCCTCTTAGTAAGTTATTCTAATTTTTAATTATTTTAATAGATTAAAATTTTTATATTTAAAAAGATAATTGATTTTTTTATAGTTAGATGTGATATTTTTAAAAGAAAAAGTAAAATAATTATAAATTTAATGTAATATTTTATTTTATTAACTATTTTAGTTTATTTACTTATGGGTAAATTACACTGACACCCTCTGAGATTTATGTTTATTATAGTTTCCCCCTCACTTTTTGAAAATTATATCTCCTTCCCTGTGATTTAAAATTTCATTACAGATTCCCCCTCAGCAATTTAATTTTTTAAATATCAATTTTGCCCTCATTGGGTAAATTACATTGACACCCCTCACATTTTAGAAATTATAATCCCCTCCCTAAGGTTTAAAGCAGCATTACCAATTGTCCTCTCGGTTAGTATTAGTTGGAAAAAAAATTCATTGAAACAAAAATTAATTGAAAAAAAAATTTGTTAGTAAAATTTTTAAATTTCTGTTTAAAAACAAACGTAAACTTATTTTTTGAATTTACGTTTTTCCTCAAATTGACAAATTGAGACAACCATTTATAAACAAAAAAAATTATCACACAAGTTTTTATGACAGTTTTTTAAATTTTTGTAAATATAAATTGAAAATTGAATATGAGATAGTTGCCAAACAGGCTTCAGATGGTAAAAATATCGTAAAATTAACAAATAATTAAATAAGTTACCAACGTAAGAAATGACTTATCAAAAGATTCTTAAGCTATGTATGGTTTGATTTTTAGAATTTTGTTTTTTTAATTAAAAATTAATTTGGTTAAGAAATAAAAAATAAAAAAATAATTATCATTTTTATATAATTTTTATCTTTCGAGTGGTTAAAAATAATTTTTTACAAATTAAATAGAAACTACCATAAATATGTATATAACCTGCCCAAAAGTTAAAATGATAATTATTTTTTACCCTTAAATGATAATTATTTTTTATTGCTTAACCAAATTAATTTTTAATTTTTTAAAAAAAAATTCTAATAATCAAACTATACATAGCCTAAGAATCTTTTGATAAGTCATTTCTTACATTAGTAACTTATTTAATTATTTGTTATAATTATTTTTTACCCTTAAATGATAATTATTTTTTATTTTTTATTTCTTAAGCAAATTAATTTTTAATTTTTTAAAAAAATTTAAAAAATCAAACCATACATAGTTTAAGAATCTTTTGATAAGTCATTTCTTAAGTTGGTAACTTATTTAATTATTTGTTAATTTTACGACATTTTTACTATCTGAGGCTTGTTTGGTAACCATTTCGTTTTCAGTTTTCAATTTATATTTATAAAAATTTTAAAAACTGTCATAAAAATTTTTTGATAATTTTTTTTTGTTTATAAATTGTTGCCTTAGTTTGTAAATTTGAGAAAAAAACATAAATTCAAAAAATGAGTTTACGTTGGTTTTTAAACAAAAATTTAAAAATTTTATTAACAAATTTTTTTTTCAATTAAATTTTTTTTTTTTTTTTGCAACTAATACTAAACAAGGAGATAATTGACAATACTACTTTAAACCTTAGGGAGAGGATTGTAATTTTTAAAATGTGAAGGGTGTCAATGTAATTTACCCAGTGAGGGAAAAATTGGTATTTAAAAAATTAAATTGCTGAGGGAAAAATCTGTAATGAAACTTTAAACTTTAGAGAGGGAGATGTAATTTCCAAAATCTAAAGGGGAATTGTAATAAATATAAACTTCAAAGGGTGTCAATGTAATTTACCCTTCATTTATTTATTTATTTTATAAATTTTAATTAAAAAATAATCAAAAACTCACTTGCCAAACTGGGCCATAATGGCCCTGTTTGGTAGAGTTGTGGAAAAGTACTTATAGTTTATACCTTAACAGCTTATAACTTATAACTATGAACATAAGCTGATTTCTGACTTATAAATTAAGTTTTTCCTGTCCCACTCAAAGAATAAGTTGATTTCTAACTTACAAAAAGTTATAAGCTGTATTATTAAACTAAACTAAATACATCAAAATAATTTAAATTAAACTAAAAACTAAAATAAATTGAAATTAAGCTTTACCAAACAGCCCAATATAAAATTCTCCAATTGTGTGAGGATTGCTCCAGATGCGCTTAACATTGCTTTCGCTCGTGAAAGTTTTTACAAGCCAACAGTAAGCTTACCAACAAAGCTCTGTCATGGACGTCCGCCGGCGAGCTCCCGGTCCGGCCACTACCGTCGTCGGCGACCACCAGCAGCAGAAGCAGAAAAGTCAGTCCTCCATTGGCCCGACCCCAAAAGCGTCGGACGCCCTCCCTCTCCCCCTATACCTAACCAACTGCATTTTCTTCACCCTCTTCTTCACCGCCTCCTACTACCTCCTCGAACGCTGGCGCGACAAGATCCTTTCCTCCACGCCTCTCCACGTCGTCACTCTCTTCGAACTCGTCGCCATCGTCTCCCTCATCGCCTCCTTCATCTACCTCCTCGGCTTCTTCGGCATCGATTTCGTCCAATCCTTCATCTCTCGTGCCGCCCACGACGATCTCGAATTGGATGATGATGATGATGATGATGATCGCCCCCTCCTTCTAGACGACGACGAAGAAATCGTTAAATCGGTTGTTTCCGGTACCGTTCCGTCGTACTCGCTGGAGTCAAAACTGGGCGACTGTTATCGTGCGACCCTAATTCGACGCGAGGCGGTGCAGAGACTTACAGGGAGGTCCCTCTTTGGTTTGCCCTTGGATGGATTCGATTACAAGTCCATTTTGGGGCAGTGTTGTGAAATGCCAGTCGGTTATGTTCAAATTCCGGTGGGGATTGCTGGACCCTTGTTGCTCAACGCCTGCGAATACTCTGTGCCGATGGCCACCACTGAGGGATGTTTGGTTGCCAGTACGAACCGAGGTTGCAAAGCCATGTACGCTTGTGGAGGTGCGACCAGCGTTGTTTTGAAAGATGGGATGACTAGAGCTCCTGTTGTCAGGTTTTCCACGGCAAAGAGAGCCTCTGAGTTGAAGTTTTTCTTGGAAGATCCTCTTAATTTCGATACATTGGCCCTGATTTTTAACGAGTAAGTCTCCTTTGTTATGTTCAATGCAGTATGAGTCCGATTAGGATTTATTCAGTTCTAAGTGTATGTTACATTTACAAGATTTTGATTAAGGCTTTTGATTTGTTTGTATACACTCCGTCACAGTCAGTGGTTTCACTTCTCTTTCGCGTGTGTTTTCATTTGTTGATGGCTTTAGTTGTTTATTTTTACAACCATGTACTCTTTGTGATTAGGATCTGATGTTTTGTGGTTGCAGATCGAGCAGATTTGCAAGGCTCCAAAGTATTCAATGTTCCATTGCAGGGAAAAATCTTTTCATGAGATTCAGCTGCAGCACAGGAGACGCAATGGGGATGAACATGGTGTCCAAAGGTGTTCAGAATGTTTTGGAATCCCTTCAAATTGATTTTCCAGACATGGATGTAATCGGCATCTCTGGTAATCTCTCTCTCTCTCTCAACTTACTGTTGCTGAAAATTTGTGACCAGTAACAAATATGCTTGGGTCTGCAATAATATTGTTGATGTTTTGCAATAATCTAATTTTGAGTGTTTTTTGATTCTTTGATTGCAAATGCATCTGCATAATCATTGTTTTCCATCATTGTGATAAGGATTCATGTAGCCCGCCCAATGATTGGGACACAACTGTTCATTTGGTTCAGTAATCAATTTGTTCATTTAGATCACCAGGCTATTTTATATATATATATATATATATAACTTTGATTTGGATCCATTTTAGTTAATCTTGATCTTTTGACTAAATTACATTGACATCCCTTGGTATGGTATGGTTTGCAATAACATAACAAATTCTTCCTATGAAGTGGCTGTTGAGGAGGCTAACCAAGTATTGCTTATGTCAGCTTAAAATTACTTTGTTTAGACACAATTTCCCCTAATAGTAATAGCCTTGATACTTCATCAAAATGACCATTTTACCCAATTTTAAATATTGCTTGGACAAAATGTCAGAACACAAGTATTTGATGCTTTCAGTGGTCACATTGCTCTAGTAGAGTGAAAATTACTTAATAAATCCAACTAATTTATGTGTGTGCGCGTGCGTTTCAAAAGCAAGGACCATTGATCTCCATTGTGTTTGCCAATTTACCACCACCTTACCTCCTTTGCTGGCATACACATGGACACATTACCCTTATCCTTCTTCACTGGAAACTTGAAAGCTCACACCAAATCAGGCTAATTTACTGCAATCCTAAACTTATTCACATAACTACACAACAATTACAATGGTGAAGAGGAGGTGGGATGAATGTAGGAGGAGAGTGACGCATACCTGATTGTTCTGTGTGCTCGTTGAGTTCTTGATGGTGGTGCCAATCTCCTTTTTGTCAATGATTTGTAGGTTTAGGTCTTCTTTCTCTTCTTGTCGATTTTGGGTTTGATCAAGCTCAGATTGCTCTGTTGTAATGGAAGTAGAGCTTGCAGTGACAGGTGGTCCCATAGAGAGAAAGGAAGAGAAAGTTGGATTGGTGATGGTGGGTTCGCAACGGTGAGAGATGAAATTTACTTTTTAACATAACTTGATTTTTTTTTAATATTTTATAAATTTAACAACTAAGGGTGAATATGTAATTTTAATTATTCTGTTATCTCCATTAACAAACAATGTAATTACTAGAGTCTCAAGGAGAGGATATATTAGTTAGAAACCTCAGCGGAGGTGAGTGTAATGTATCCCTATCTTTTTACTGACTTGGTATGCAAATTGTTTTAGTGCTATTGGTAATGTGTCATGCATAGTGTTATTGATTTGTAATTTGTTTCTCAATTACCCAGGGAACTTTTGTTCGGACAAGAAGCCAGCTGCAGTTAATTGGATTGAAGGGCGTGGAAAGTCTGTTGTTTGTGAGGCAATCATCACCGAGGAGGTAGTTAGGAAGGTATTGAAAACCACTGTTCCTGCCCTCGTAGAGCTGAACATGCTTAAGAACCTTGCTGGATCTGCTGTTGCTGGTGCTCTTGGTGGTTTCAATGCCCATGCTGCCAATATAGTCTCTGCAATTTTTATAGCCACTGGTCAGGATCCAGCACAAAATATCGAGAGTTCCCACTGCATAACTATGATGGAAGCCGTCAATGATGGGAAGGACCTTCACATTTCAGTGACCATGCCTTCCATTGAGGTGATTTGACATTCCATATGATCTGATGATATTTGGTTTCTCCGTTGTTTTGAAGGCATTGGATTAGTATATGGTCTCATCTGAGGACATTTTAAGGCTGATTTTCATTCTGTTAGAGACTGAGCGCCAGTGCTCTGTACATCAGCTAGAGTTCTTCATCTGTTGAACTGTCTATCACTTCATATTGCATCTCTAAATGTGAAGTATTCTGCATTTTTTTCTCTTTCAGTTTTTTGTTAGTGATCTAAATAGTAATGACAGCTATATTACTGATTGAGTTTCTTAAATCACTATCTATAACCTCATAAGCTTATTTAGTTTTTTGTTTTTTCTAGGTAGGTACAGTTGGAGGTGGGACTCAACTTGCATCTCAATCAGCTTGTCTGAACCTTCTTGGTGTGAAGGGTGCAAGCAAAGAGTACCCAGGATCAAACTCCAGGCTTTTGGCGACAATAGTAGCTGGTTCAGTTTTGGCAGGGGAGCTCTCCTTGATGTCTGCCATTGCAGCTGGGCAGCTTGTCAAGAGCCACATGAAATACAACAGATCAAGCAGGGATGTCTCCAAAGTTGTCTCTTAAGAGGAAAGATGAGGCTGAGAAGGCAAAATGGAGGCAAAATTGGGCAGGAGGAACTACCCATGTGGGATCGCTTCTTGTCATAGCTGTAAAGTTGGCAATCATGTGTTGTATCAAGTCATGAGGCTAACCTGCTTGGTTGTACTCTCTCTCTCTCTCTCTCTCTCTCTCTCTCTCTCTGAGGATGACGGCATACCCTGGTGAAGTGCACCATTGGAGCCCCCACATATGGTTTGTCTGTTGTCCCAATTGTCAAGTTGGAAATGTTGTCCTCCCTTGTCTGTTTTTAGTAATTGTTATTATCATTGTTTGTCTTTGGGGCCACATTGGTTTCAAACCTGGCACAGTTGTTTCTTCTCTTGTTATTTTGTGCACAGGATTGGAATTTTTATTTTTGTTTTCTTAATTTTTTATTGGCAAAGGATCATAATTTCTCAGAATCTGAATTTGGAGAAGGCAGTAGTTTTTTTTTTGTTTAGTATTAGCATCTAACCTTTCCAATTGTGTAGGTTGTACCTGGTGGGCTATTATTAAATAAAAGGCATCTGATTAAGTGCTATTTTGGGGTGTTGGCTTTTAGCAATTTTTTTTTTTGGTTTGTAGCAAAAGTTAAAAGTTGGTTTTTTTACATTTTTTTCATTTGGGAAGTTGGTTTTTAACTACTAGTAAAATTATAATTCTGTCCCTCATGAGTCAAAATGTGCTACATGAGTGAAGTTGTAAATATTTTAAATTAATGGGGGTAGTTTGGTCATTTTATTGTGATTTGATATCATAAATAAATATTAATTAAAAAAGTAAAAAATAATTTTTTACTAACTTTTCAAATCATTTATCTAAAAAAGTTAAAAACTTAATTACAAGCAAAAAAAATATTTTTTACCATCTTTTCAAAATAGGCTTAAATTTTAGATAATCAGAAGCTAGTGTTCAGAATAGCTTATTCTAGAATGTTCAAGAGAATAAGTGCGGAGATCAGATCAGACAGTGAAGAGATTTCAACCAAGTACGTTCATCACTTACAAGTGTAATAGAAAGAATATAGTGTGTTTGGTTTGAGTGTTTTGGATTAAGTTTTTTGAAAATTGATTTTTTTATTTTTAGTGAATATTTTTAAAATTTTAAACATTTTTTTTTATTTTTTAAGATGCACCTTACTTAGATGTATCTAAAAAGTAAAAAATTTGTGAAAAAATATTTAAAAAAATTAATAAATACATAAAAATACAAAAAATATATTGAATTCTCGTATTTTTTTGTATTTTTGGTATTCAGTGAATTTTTAAAAGGTTTTTTCACAATTTTTTTACTTTTTAGGTATATTTATGTTAGGTATGTCTAAAAAGTAATAAAAAAAAAATTTGCTTAAAATATTAAAAAAAATTCAGTAAAAACAAAAAAAAATGAAAAACAAGAAAGTAGAATTTTTTGAAAAGTGTTTTTGGAAAAATAGAGCCAAGCAAAGTGATTTGGAGTTTAAAAATTAAAATGGCCGATGATGAAAAATATTCCATCAAATAATGAGTGGCTAACTCAATTAAAACTTATATGTGCAACAGTGACAATTCACAATTTTATCGGGCGAAGTAAGTTATGAGACATTTCATTTGAATCTTATGATAAATTACGTGATTAATTATGTGCTTATCGATGAAGGAGGGTCAATGTCACAATAACCACGCCATGAAAATCATGTTCGATATTATGATGATGAGTTGAACAATGTCACAATAACCACGCCATGAAAATCATGTTCGATATTATGATGATGAGTTGAAGTGAGGAGACGTAATATTTGTATGTCAATTTATAGAGCAAACTAAGAAAATTGCTTATTGTTGATAGTTGGCGCACCATTTGTTAGGGCTTAGTCCCTTTTATCGTTATTGTTGTTGTTGTTGTTGTTGTTGTCGTTGTTTTTTTTTTTTTTTTTTATTTCGTCCTTTGTGCCCCGAAAAAAAAATGAAATGGAATTGTAATGAGGTGTACCAATATAGGTAATAATTATTAACTTTCATTTATAAAATAACGTTCTAAAAATTAAAATTGAAGAAGAGAAAAAAATTTACAATTTTTTCATCTTATAAGGGCAAAAAAGACAATTATACAACAAAAAACTATTTTACGACTTATTCAACCAAATATTATTCTGCTGTTTAAATTCATAATCGCACAGTTACACCAAATAGGTTAATAGTTTTTGTTTAAAACTATAATTTATAATTTATAATATGTTAAGCTATAATTTATAATCACTTGTTCACAACTGTACCAAACAGCCCTATCATCTACTTACCCTCTCTCTCTCTCTCTCTCTCTCTCTTCAATTGGAGTTTTTGAAAATGGTGATGAGCAACAAAGATCTATTCAAAGAGAGGCAAGTCTATTGAGAGGTAGATCGGCAGCGACAGAGGTGGTGTAAGAATAGGTGGCGACGAAGATGAAGAGAAGAGAAGAGATAGAAAGATAGAGACCCATGGGCGACAACGAGGCAAATCAATGACGACGGAGATAGGCAAACCTGTTTAGAGACACCACGCATCGCTGCCTGTAGACACCCCATTTTTGACCGACCTTAAGACTCAGACGTCACCGATTAAGCGCTCGGTGATGTTGCATATTGTACTCGTTCAGAAGTTTCAGAGTCTCGGCTGCGAGCCTTGCCTCCGGACTTCCGGATTCTTTTGTACCTTGCCTCGGTTCGCGAACCAGACTCGGTTTTCTCTGTTTCTATTCCTGAGGGAAGGGAGAGGTCCCGTAGACCATCTCTCAGTGGCTGTGGGCTACATTTCGTGGTCGTAGGCCATTTTGCCCGTTTCGGAGCCCGGTTCCCGGTTTTCGGAGCCATCAGGCCGTGTGCCTCGATTCGGGACCGCCTAACCACTTCCATTTGCTCCGGTTTTTGGCATGCGTATTATTTGCTCCCTTTTGAGGGACACTGTGATCCGAGAGACCAACTTCGTGGTCGGACACCACTTCCGGTGCCTAACAGCCCACTTTTGGGGCCCCGAACTGCGTATTTTGGCTCCCGAACCTTCATTTTGCATTTTTGGGCTCCGACCCGAACTTGAGATAGTCATATTTTGAGGTCCTTTTCATGTTTGATTAAGGACCTTTTGTTGTTTGAGATCTCTTCCTATCACTTGCTTCTTTAACGCTCTTTTAGGCCTATTTTTGCGCGATATTTTAGGCTTACTTGTGAGCTGTTTTAGACTTAGTCGTAAACTAAAAAGTGTCTTTTTTTGAGCCCCTCTTCAACTTTGTTGAAGGGCTCTCGGTCATTTGGGTCCAGCAGCTACCACTTGCCTTTATATCCCACTTTTTGGCTTTTTTTAGAGGGAAACTTGGATTATTTTCCCTCTATTTTTTTCCCACCATTTTTTCCCCCCATTTTTCCACCCCTTTTGCCTATATATACAGCACCCCAGGTCTGTATTAAGGGTTAGAAAAAAAAAACTATTTGGAGCTCCTATATTGTATCTCTATCTCTCTATAATTCTAAGCTTCAAAATCCTTAAGTTCCTACATCCATTTCTTCACCACCACCAACCACCACCACCACTAATCCATTCCAGCAGATAGGAGTGGCTTTCCAGCAGCTAAGAGGCAACATTTTTCAGTCCTAGAGGCAGCAAAGGTTGGGTCTTCAAGGGTGAGCACTCTTCTCCCTCTTTCTAGCTCATTTTTGCCTCATTTTTTTAGCCACTTTGCTTGCAGTTTTGAGCTCCGACCAAAACATAAAATGCCATTTTTTTGAGCTATATTCCATGTTTCATTAAGGGCTCAACCCTGTTTGAGCCCCCCATCTTGCACTTGCTTCAATATCTTCCTTGAATGCTGTTTTCTTGCATGCTTTGGCAGCCCATTATGCTTCCATTTTTGGTCATTTTACAGAGCTAAATTGGGCAGGAGGAACTACCCATGTGGGATCGCTTCTTGTCATAGCTGTAAAGTTGGCAATCATGTGTTGTATCAAGTCATGAGGCTAACCTGCTTGGTTGTACTCTCTCTCTCTCTCTCTCTCTCTCTCTCTCTCTCTGAGGATGACGGCATACCCTGGTGAAGTGCACCATTGGAGCCCCCACATATGGTTTGTCTGTTGTCCCAATTGTCAAGTTGGAAATGTTGTCCTCCCTTGTCTGTTTTTAGTAATTGTTATTATCATTGTTTGTCTTTGGGGCCACATTGGTTTCAAACCTGGCACAGTTGTTTCTTCTCTTGTTATTTTGTGCACAGGATTGGAATTTTTATTTTTGTTTTCTTAATTTTTTATTGGCAAAGGATCATAATTTCTCAGAATCTGAATTTGGAGAAGGCAGTAGTTTTTTTTTTGTTTAGTATTAGCATCTAACCTTTCCAATTGTGTAGGTTGTACCTGGTGGGCTATTATTAAATAAAAGGCATCTGATTATTAAATAAAAGGCATCTGATTAAGTGCTATTTTGGGTGTTGGCTTTTAGCAATTTTTTTTTTTGGTTTGTAGCAAAAGTTAAAAGTTGGTTTTTTTACATTTTTTTCATTTAGGAAGTTGGTTTTTAACTACTAGTAAAATTATAATTCTATCCCTCATGAGTCAAAATGTGCTACATGAGTGAAGCTGTAAATATTTTAAATTAATGGGGGTAGTTTGATCATTTTATTGTGATTTGATATCATAAATAAATATTAATCAAAAAAGTAAAAAATAATTTTTTATTAACTTTTCAAATCATTTATCTAAAAAAGTCAAAAATTTAATTACAAGTAAAAAAATTACTTTTTACCATCTTCTCAAAATAGGCCTAAATTTTAGATAATCAGAAGCTAGTGTTCAGAATAGCTTATTCTAGAATGTTCAAGAGAATAAGTGCGGAGATCAGATCAGACAGTGAAGAGATTTCAACCAAGTACGTTCATCACTCACAAGTGTAACAGAAAGAACATAGTGTGTTTGGTTTGAGTGTTTTGGATTAAGTTTTTTGAAAATTGATTTTTTTAGTTTTTGTATTTTTTTATTTTTAGTGAATATTTTTAAAATTTTAAACATTTTTTTTTTATTTTTTAAGATGCACCTTACTTAGATGTATCTAAAAAGTAAAAAATTTGTGAAAAAATATTTTAAAAAATTAATAAATACATAAAAATACAAAAATTATATTGAATTCTCGTATTTTTTTGTATTTTTGGTATTCAGTGAATTTTTAAAAGGTTTTTTCACAATTTCTTTACTTTTTAGGTATATTTATGTTAGGTATGTCTAAAAAGTAAAAAAAAAAAATTGCTTAAAATATTAAAAAAAATTCAGTAAAAACAAAAAATAAAATAAAAAACAAGAAAGTAGAATTTTCTGAAAAGTGTTTTTGGAAAAATAGAGCCAAGCAAAGTGATTTGGAGTTTAAAAATTAAAATGGCCGATGATGAAAAATATTCCATCAAATAATGAGTGGCTAACTCAATTAAAACTTATTTGTGCAACAGTGACAATTCACAATTTTATCGGGCGAAGTAAGTTATGAGACATTTCATTTGAATCTTATGATAAATTAAGTGATTAATTATGTGCTTATCGATGAAGGAGGC